CCTCCCTCCCTCCCTCCCTCCCTCCCTTCCTTCCTCCCTTCCTTCTTTCCCTTCCTTTCCTCTTTCTCTCCTTAATTCACTTAGTTCTTTCACCATCAAAAAGTAGTTTATAAAAACACTACCACCCAGTGTTCTGTGACGCTCAGTATACTTTCTATTCTTTGGTATGTGCAATCAAACATTTTCTTCCTTCCATGTCTGTTCCTGTGCTGTGTGACCTGCATGTCTCAATGTCCTCATTCATATATGGGAATTGGACAAAGCTTGCCACGCCAAATTACATACTGTCCCAGGGGTTCTGAAGTTCAGTTTGATTCTTAAGGCTTGTTAACCATTTCTTGTGGGAGACTTGTCCTGTATCTTACAAGACATTCAGTCCCACCCTTTGCTTCTACCCACTAGACACCAATTGTATGGTATCTCTTCCCACCTCAATCCCCTGGGGTTGACAATGAAAACTGTATCCATTGTCAACTATGGCTGGCTGGGCACATACTTCCAGGCTGAGAACTGCTTGCTAGACTTTACTTGCTATCAGCTAGATCTGAGTGAGCCTGGCTTGATTCCATTGAAATGCTAGGGTCTTTGGAGTTTTTGGTGTTAATTTAGTTTTCAATAATACAATAAAGCTCAAGAAAAGCTACTTTTGAGAAATTAAACAATGAAGTGGGAAATCCTACATTAAGAGCTTCAGCATCAGAATGGAAATTGTCAGAAAAGCAAATTTGGGGTTCCACCACAGATATAGTAAACTAGGAGGCACCATGACCAAAGCAACTCTTACAAAGAATAGCATTTAATTTGGGGGCTAGCTTACAGTTCAGAGGTTCACCATTATCATCATGAAGAATAGGATGGGAGCATCCAAGCAGACATGCTACTGAGAGTTCTATATCTTTATCAGAAGGTAGCCAGGAGGATGCTCTGATTTCATACTGGGTAGAGCTTAGGCATAGAGGTCTTAAAGCTCACCTCCACAGTGACACACTTCCTCCAACAAATTTACACCTACCCTATTAAAGCCACACTTTCTGAGAGTGCCACTCCCTGTGGACCAAGCATTGAAACACATGAATCTAAGAGGGCCAAACCTATTCAGTTCTACACTATACCAATTAGATTGCAATCCCTGAGCTAGGACCAGATATAAATGTTTAAGTTCATCAGGTCATTCCAATGTTTCAAAAAATCTGAAGTGTTACTTAAATGAATTATCTACCACATGTTGTAAAGAAGTACAACATAAGGCTTAAAAGACATGCCCCAACTGGGAGCCAGTAGGTTGGTTGTGAGCTGTGGACTATAGGCTTTGAATTCTGTCCAGGGTCTTTTCTCCCAAGTTCTCTAGCTCTATCTTGCCAGAAGGTTTACCTCCTATTTTACCAGAGTACATGGAACTCCACTTAGTATGTTCTACATTCTTAGTTTGCATCAGATTCCTGTGTTCTGTATTCATCTCCTCCATATCACTGTAAACTTCCAGAAGTAAGGACAGTGCTGTAACCGCTTCTTCTTTCCCTCATCATCCATACACCAGGGGCAGGCACTTAAAGACATTAATTTAATGACACATATTCAGTGATACAGGAATATCTATGACGTTGAGCTGAGACATGCAAAAGCGTATTAACATGTGATGTTTCGCAAAAGCGTATTAACATGTGATGTTTCGCAAAAGCGTATTAACATGTGATGTTTCCCAAACCCCATTTTCTACTCCATGTACTTCAAATCCTTCTCCAAGCGGATCAATAATTTTAGACTCCACCATCTTTATCTGAACAGTTTACCACCAGGAGAAAAACTTCATGCTAGCTCTGGAACACTGACTATCTAAGGCAAGTGCCACACTGGAGATTTGTCATAAGTGAAAATAGACAATTTTGAGAATTTTGGTGAAAAAAGTTAACATGTATGTGAATCAAGATTTTTTTTTCCGGAGTTATTTAGCTAGGGCTATTCATGTCCAAAAGGGTGAGAAACTCAAAAAGAACAAGGTAAATATTGTGACACTCTGGCCACAATACTTTTTGTATAGTGGCCGTTTCACACAAAAGCTTTCTTGTGGAAATTCGGGTCCGCTGGGCAATGTATGTGGTTCTTTCCCATTGGTCATCCTTCCAGTGGCTCAGAGACTAAGGTGAGATTCCCACAGACAGTTCCAGACAAACAGAATTCTTCCCAGGGAGTTTCAGGCTGGGCTTGAGTCTAGCACACTTTTTTTTTTTCCCATTTTCTGAGAGTATGAAGCCAAGGGACAGAAAATAGGGAAACACCTTGGCTAAGAAGGTATTTACGACCCAGTAGAAGGGGAGGAACAGGAAAGCCTCCAGCTAGTTCCTTGGACTCTGGCAGCTGTTTTTGTCAACTTTCCCACTTCTAGATTGATGTTCATTGCTTAAGTCCCGGGGTACTGGGTTTGTTAAACTGACTCTTTGTTCAACTCTCACAATAGGGATTTATGTCTGAATATCACCGGACATGTCGGGCTTTTGGCTGCTTTGGAAGAGGTAAGTAACAGAGGGCCAGCACAAAGTCGTGCATCTGGAAAATTGCCAGAGGCAGAACTTATGTACAGCTTCACTTTCCTCCAGCGGTCTGTACTGGAAACTCGGGTTATTTATCGTTCTTACTCAGTCTTCACATTCAATGCCGGAGCACATCCACACTCAGTCACAGGAGAAGGCAAAAGGGCGAGAGACCCTGCCCTACAGGAGGGCGGGAAGCTATTTTTGTGGCTCAGAGCTAGGTCCATCCTAGGCTTATTCTTAGTTGTATCCACATGGGCAAACCACTTTCTTCTCAAATCTACTCAACTAGCCAGAGCCCCTCCCCTTCTCTATCGCTTTTCAGGCCCACTAAAATGGCCCTTCGTGTTGCATCTAAGGGTGAAGGACTGCAAAGAGCAAGCCCACATAGACTCCAGGAAACGACTCTGGGCCTCACTTCACCACGTGCGGAAGACAAAGCAATACCATCGTCTTCTACCATCCACAAGGGACCTCACACGCAAAACTTGTCCCTCGGGGTCGGCCTCTCGCGGTGGAGCTAGCTCTCAGGCAGCTGGAGCGCGGCTCGCGGAGGCTCGGCGGCAGGAGGAGCGTGTGAGCTGGAGGCGTCCCTTTAAGAGCGGCCAGCTGGGCGAGCCTCCGCCTCCAGGACCGCAGCGCTGCCGGCGGTCACCTGGGGCTGTCGCTCAGCAGGATCGCGGTAGGACCGGCGCACTAGCCCTCGGAGCCGGAGCGGGGCTCGAACGCGAGGTGCGGCAGGGCAGGCAAAGAGCGCCGCGGTTCCTTTCCACGGTCCGGCGGAGGATGCGGGAGAGCACGTGGGTGTCGCTGCTGTTGCTGCTGCTGCTGCCCGCGCCGCAGCGGGGCGGCCCCCAGGACAGTCGCCGGTCGCCGGAGCCGGAGCCCGAGCGCGGCCCGCTGCAGCCCTTCGATCTGCTCTACGCCAGCGGCGTGGCTGCCTACTACAGAGGCGACTACGAGCGTGCGGTGCAGGACCTGGAAGCCGCGCTGCGCAGCTACCGGCGCCTGCGGGACATCCGCACGCGCTGCGCCCGCCACTGCGCGGCGCGCCGCCCGCTCGCGCCCCCCGGCGCCGGCCCGGGAGCCGAGCTGCCCTTCTTCCGCGCGGTGCTCGAGCGGGCGCGCTGTTCCCGCAGCTGCCAGAGCCAGCGCCTGGGCGGCCCCGCGTCCCGCCATCGCGTCAGCGAGGACGTGCGCAGCGACTTCCAGCGCAGAGTGCCCTATAACTACCTGCAGAGGGCCTACATCAAGGTACTGAACGCGGCTGCGCCCATCGCCGTGGACCCTAGGGTTGGCTTTGGGGGGCTTGGAGGCGGGTATTGCTCTGCGTTCCATCCAGCCTTTCACAGTGGCTCTGCTTTGCGTACAAGTAGACGCCCAGAGACTAGATGGAAGTGGGCAGATCAGCTTTGCTCCCTGTCTCAGCATCGTCTTCACTTGCAAAAGTGGGATGTGTTAATAAGATCATATCAAAAGTGTCTTTCAACACTGTAAGTGATTGTGGTCTACCTAGACGCTAGAGTAAATTCTTTGAAATAGCCCAGTCCCAATCTCCTTTTGGCCGTCCTTCCTACTCTGCAGTCTGATCTGCTGAGTTTAAGAAACAGACCTAAACGGTCCTAAAAGTTATTTCTCTTCAACTATAGAAGAGCAACGGGGAAAGGGTGGGTGGAGGAAGAAGGCTCGGCTGTATGAGGCAATCTACTGAAAGTGTAGATTTCTTTGGTACTGGTTCAGGTTCCTGGAGTTCTGTCACCGTCCAGGGCTACTTCACCTCAGATGCCCACTGCTTTCTGCTTTTGTTTGCATCTATGTAACTTCCCAAAGTTGCTGTCAGGAAGCATATAATCAAAACTGGCATATCCGGAACCCCCACTTTAAAATACCTAACTAGATGATGCATAGCAGACAAAATGTAGAATGAATTCTTCAGTCCCCCACTTCCACAAACTTATACTTCTCCAGGTCACACTTTCTTCCTACCTTCTGGCTTTCTGAGTCAATATATCTAGGTCTTTCACACAGCAGTGGGAAGAATTAATAAGGTCACAACTGAAACCAAGTCTTCAGAGTATGCAGTGTTCGTGGTGCTGAAGTTCAGGAGTTGACTAGTGAGGGTCGACGAGAGAAAACTCAAAATTCTCTCCAGGATTTGTGTGTTATCTGTTCTCCTGTGCTTTCTAGTGGATTTGCTAAGACATTCATGATGTATCGTGCTGCTTTTTAAAAAGAGAGGGACACATTTTTTTTTCTGTTCTTCCAGAAATCAGTTAGTTCTGGGAGAGGGACCATTGAGAGCCAATAGCAAAGATATTCTAAGCTGATTCCCAGAGCAGAATAGGGGTGATCCTGTCGTGTGGTCCCTATGTATGGTTCTCTCAAGAGTCTCAGATGTGAGGGGATATATGCCCATTTTGCTGATGGTTCTATAGTACATAGCAAATAGATTTTCTCTTTTCAGGAATTAAAGGAAAAGAGAGGAGATGCATACTCATATTGAAAAATAAATAGCCATGCAGTCAGCATGTGGATTGCTGTGATTCTGTAGGTATATATTTCATGTAATATTAGCATTTATTTCTCATTCCTATGGCCCTGCTCTCTGATTGGAGGTCAAAGACGATGACTCCATAAGCTTAAGAGACCTTTTCTAATGACTTTGATTCACATAACTGACAAATTCTCAAGAAGGAAATATTTTACCCATTTGGGAATTGCTTGTGACCATCTAAAGAATGTGTTATAGTCCTTTTCTCCTCTGTGCTCCATGGAAATTCTAAAGGTAGCCTTGTCTTTGTTTCTCAGGGACACACACACACACACACACACACACAGAGAGAGAGAGAGAGAGAGAGAGAGAGAGAGAGAGAGAGAGAGAACTACCATCTCATAGACTAAAGGCCATTCTGTGAGATGTTCACTAGCAGGGTGACCAGCTCGTATGTATTTGCATATGGTCATAATGTCATGTATAACTGAATTTATATAGTCAGACAGCCACATGTAACTAGATTACTCCTGACAACTGGGACCCAGTTTGCACTTAGAAGTCTATCCTAGGCCAGATGATACTGGGTGGAAACAGGAGGCTTCTCAGAGTTAAGTAAACACAGCCATCTCAACTAGAGGATAAACACACTGCACTGGATTTCAGGAGTAATATTCTCTCACGCCCTGGATAATGAGCTACTGAAGGCAACAGACCCCTGATGCTCATGAGTTGGACAGAAAGAAGAGGTGAGAATTGTAAACTCTGATACTTTTCACTTAACTATCTTTATTTGAGAGTCGAAGATTGGGATGTCCAGAGACATCCATGTTACCTGAGTGTCATTAGTTTAGCATGTTGATGTGAGATCAGGGCCTGCCCAGAGTCAGTCTGAACTCTCACGCTAATGGACTGTGCCCAGAGTCTGTAATTCGCCCCAGGCTCTGTAGAATGCTGGGTTATTTGATGCCAGATTTGGACAGCTCCGGGGGTAAGCAAGTCTTTGTTCCCTGAAGTCATAGGTACCCCTCTTTAGTACTGTCGTATCCAATCAGCCCACAGCCCTGGCCTGTTGGAAAATTGAACAGTTAAGTGGTGGTAGTCCTACAGAGGGATACTTTGTGTTTATATTATGCAAAGGCAGGGTAATACTCATTCAACTTAAAAATAAATTCTATTTTTTGTAAGATAAAATTCATCAGCCATAGCCTAAACCCTAAGATGTGGCTATTAATGTGGTATTCCTTGAAGAGTGCATAGTGGCTTCCCTTTGCTACTGCAGGGAGCCCATATAGTTTAACCCAACATCTACAACCTCTCTGTCCGTTCCTCTTTACAATCCTGTCTCCCCATGTCTAACTGTTTGGATCTTGGCCTTGCTATTCTTCCTGGGGAGCTTGAAGGCCTTAAGATAGGAAAAGATCGCAATTCAAGTCTGTTGTACCGTATGCCAGGTTTATATTTTCCTGTCTGTGAGATGGAGCAATACTGCTACCTGCTTGGTCTGAATTCAGTTTAAAACAGACCAGAGCCTGACTCTTAATGGGCACTACAGTGTAGTCACTAAAGGATTCCCACTTCTTTGCATGCTGAAATCATCACTATTCCAACACATACTTCTGTGAGTCTCCCTGTGTCCTTCCATAGCCCCCAGCAGCTGTTTCGAATGGTTCTGGCAGAAAACTTTACTCTTTTTCTATTAAACTCCATTTTTAAAAGTGTATGCGCCCTTGCTTGTGTGAGCTCCCTGGAATCTAGAACTATCAATTCATTTTGCATCTCTCAAAAGAAAGGATTCCCAGGCATGGATGCTTACTGGTTGGGTGACTCTTACCTTTTGGGGCATGATAATCTGAAGGAACATCAGCATTTATGTCAAAAAGTCTGCACTGGGTCATCAGCAATCTTATATCAAACAATCCGGGCAGATATCAAAGCTCCAGATCTATCCACTTATGGCAAGGATACTAGCTTAGCTTTATGCATAGGAAATAATGAGAGACATCTCTGGAAGGGTGAAGGGCAGTTACCACATTTGGTGGGTATCTGTTTCCTAGATGTCAGTTGGTGTGAAAAGTGACAAGACTGATGGATTTCTTACTGTTTTACACTTAGAAGTTCTGGCTGCTGTTGGAGGCCCCTTCCCGCTTAGTTGATTCATTTTGTTTTCTCTTTTTTTAAAAGTTACCACTGTACCTACATTAAGAGCATTTCTGCCATTTTAAACAAATGTAAGGGAGATTATATTCTTTTTCTTTTTTTCTTTTTTTTGTATTTTTTTTTATGTATGTGAGTACACTGAAGCTGTCTTCAGACACACCAGAAGAGGGCATCAGATCCCATTACAGATGGTTGTGAGCCACCATGTGGTTCCTGGAAACTGAACTCAGGACTTCTGGAAGAGCAGTCAGTGCTCTTCACCACTGAGCCATCTCTCCAGCCCTATTTTCTTTTCTTATCTGTGTCCTCCTCCCTAAATCCTCAGTCTTGAGATTTGGTCTACTGCTATGCACTGTAATGCTAAATCTTGGCCATGGTTGCCTCACATTCCAGAGAATCGGTACTGATCTTGCTCTTTAATTTAAAACTATTGGTCCAATAAAGATGCTGAGAGCCGATAGCTGGGCAGAAGAGGGGCAAGTGAGGTTTCAGTTCGCAGGCTTGGGATCAGAGGAGGACTGCCAGGAAAGAAGGAAGAAGGTAGGGAGAGGAGATGACACCACAGGGTAGATGAGTCATGAAAACATGGCTGTGAGGGCTGGCCAATAGAACTTAAGAGGGGCCCAGATGGAATATGGCAAGTCATACCTTAGGGTTATTGGCAGGGAAGGACACATAACAGCATAGAAGGTACATATATACCTGTCCGGCTATAGTGCTTTTATTTGGGAACTGAATAATCAAAGGCAGGGTAGAAAACCCCAATTAATATTAATTATTACAACACACTAGGGATTTTTCTTTATCTCTTTCTTCTACTGTTCCTAGTTGCTCAAAGAGAAAGAGCAACAAGCTAATGCTGTTGTTTATTTCTTTATTAATTTCTTACTTAAAACAAGCTTGCTCTTGCCCGTTCTATTCTTGAATTGGTGCTTTGTGAAATTTGGCCTCTGTTTTTCTTCCTAGGATTAAGTGGGGGTGGGGTGGTACATTAACTCTGGCAACTCTGCCCCACCCTTAGGCATCTTCAAATCCCTTTATCTTGGACCATAATTTGTGATTTGCAGAGAAGAAGAAAGTAAGCTCAGGTTATTTCTTCACTCCAGCTCTGGTTTATAGCTGCTTTCTCTTTCTGGACTGAGTGCCTTCAAAGAGAATTGAAAGCCAGACAAGGATGTTTCCTATGTCCCTTGTTAGTCAGTTCAGAAGAAAATCTGGTCCTGATCCGACCTTTCAGTCTCTTTTCTGGGATTTATAGAAACATACACATTTGTCCTCCACTTATTTCAGGAGGTGTGGTTTTATCTTCTTGAAATATAATTCTGAAATATTAGTTATTCTTCAAAAATGAGTCCCCCTCCCTTATAAAGCCTTTTCTTTTTTGTCCTTGAATCATCAAAATGTGTCACCACCCCATCCGATCCCCTATTCCTTAGGAAGGAAACCTTTGAAATTCATTGTGTAGCCAGTTGTTTGGCCCTGCATAGTCATCTCAGTTATGTCTGCTCTGCCATGTGCATCCAAAGACTGCCCAGCTCCTCACTAGTCAATTCCTGCAGCTGCTACGTGCCACGGGCTCTGCCAATTCAATTAGATCCGAGGA